GAAAGAAGGTGCAGTTGCATGAGTTGACGAATTTTGCCGGCACTTTGCGTGGACTTAAAACGATCACTTCCGGTCCCAAAGCTGGTGGACAGTCGCGAAGCGAAGAGGATGAGTTGATGCATCGACGCTCGCCTGGAGGGGAGGGACGTAAGTCTCATGACAACGCAAACCACACAATCCGCAAAACGCATTAATTCGGTTGCATTTCCGCTTGACAGGCCCGAATCTTTACCTTTTTATTCCTGTCTGAGCCCTTTCTGCTCTATCCTTTATAAACCTTTTCTCCTCTTCCCCTAGGTCTCCCTCCCTCTCTTCCTCACCTTACATTTACAAATTAAATGTTAAACAACCAAGTCAGTGGTTGTGAAACTAAATCACCTTGATATCGTAAAACCAAAGGCAATTTCTCCCCTTCCACTTTTCTGCAATCTACTTTAAAATGTACCTTTTAATGCATTCGTTTTAAAACTTGTTGACAAAAAATGGTAGGAAAAAAGTTTTTGTTTAGATGTACAAAATTGTCGGTAGCTTTTTTTCCGGTGCGATCTGGTGCAACCATGGTTAGTTTGTTGCAAGGCACGGGGCAGGGCTAGTCGGAGACCAGTCTACTGCTTCGATTGTACCTTACAAGCCCCTTCATTTGGATGGAGAAAAGGCGGCTCAATCGTCCTCTAATTGAAGTTTCTGAGGTGAACTGAAGTAGACGTGGCTAATAGCGAAATATTTTACTGTAAAAAAGTTCTTTCCTTTGGGATGGAAGTGGATGGAAAAAAAAGGGTTGTATGTGTATTTGTCGTTTCGCCCGTAAGAGGGGCTAACCACTGAGCCGACGAAAAGATGTATACCTTTGAAGTTGGTGGACATCGAAGTTGCGGACTGTCAACTAACTGGCTTTCCTTCTTGTGGTGGTGGTGTGATGATGAGGATGGAAGGGTAGGAGTTTGTGGAGGGGGTGAAATGTTTGTTCTCGGTATTGGCATTTGGAAGCATATGATTTAGCTAGGCGGTTGGAGTGGGTTGGTTTTTAGGAGTCAAAAGGGTATAAATAAACAGGCAAGGACAGTGGTAGCCACTCACAAGATGTTACACCCTAAATGCCTTTCAATGACGCTAATAATTTCAAAAGATTTTTTCGTTTCTGCAAACAGCGGAATTTTGTGTCTTCAAATTGGCTTGACAACAATTGAATTGGCTTTGAGGCTGGTGCAGGTGGAAGAATTCGTATCAAGTGGATTGACAAATTTGATGACGTATGGAGGGTGATAAGAACAGTTTAACTATACGAGCTATTTAAGAGGTTTCTTGCCTCCATTTTAGTGCACTCCTCATCACCATCATAGGAGGGGAAATAGGAAAAGGTTTAAAAGCGGCAAGAAGACTTCCGATGCTTTGGTCGCCAATGAAATCCGGCCCTTTTTTTTTACTACGTGGCACGTGATCCTCATTTTGAGAAGTTGTATCTCAGGCATTTGGATAACATGGTTAATTTACCTTCTTCTAAATACTCTTCCTTTTAGGGTTATTGTGTTGCTTTCGTCAAAGTTGTCTTCCTCTACGCCAGTGTCAAGAGAATGCACAAGTCTATATTCGGTGATCTCAAAGGTGTTGAACAGGACCCGATCTGCGGTACATAAAGGTTTCGTCAAGAAAAGTGACTTGTATGGTAAAACACAAGGAGGTGGTCTAAATTTATTCAAGTATAGAACAGGAAAGTGGTAATTTAGCCGATCAACACCAGAAGGAACGTTGACGGCGTCCGTGCTTTGAGTCTGGCGCAGGTATACGGCAGTCACTCCTGTGATGAGCCAGTAGACATGGAAATCAAACTGGCAATCACGTCAACGGTACAGTAAGGCAATCTTTTGGGCACAACTTTAGAAGTATGCAGAGATAAATTTATCCGTCTAATTAAAATCCATTCTCTAGTCCATTTACAAAGTGCAGTGTTAACACATTTCTGGCCATTTTAGGCTTTCCAAATCTGTCACTGAAGGGGGTAGAGAAAAGTGCGTCAACTAACACCACAAACCAGTGTAATAGAATTGGCGGTTATTCCTAAAAAAATATCAATCAGACAATTCGTCGTAAACCCACAAATTTAAAGTGTACAGCCGGTTTAGATTGCCTTACATGCGCCTCGTTTCCTTTCACTAATTGGTGGGTTGAATAGTGTACGAGGTTGAGTATGCGATCTGGTAAGGATGGACGTAAGATGATCAATCTGAGCCGAGAGGTAATGAACGCATTTGAACAAAGAGGGCTTTGAAGTGTCAAATCCATAATTTGACTCCAAAAATATCATTTAAACCAATTGTCATTAAGCATTGTCTCTGTCTCGTATGATTGCATTGCTACAAATGCCCATAGTAAGTCTAGTAATTCAACTATTGTCAGCGCCTCTGCCACCATCTGCTCTCAACACACCTCCCTAACCCCAATCCCAACTTCACTTCACTTCACTTCAACCCCACACTTCTTCCTCCACTCACCTATGCAGCTTCCAAGTGAACGCTGAGGTGGCTTGCAGCACCGATCTACTCTACCGACCACTCCACCCCACTCACACACACCACAGCAACTTGCCAACCACACTACATTGACATACCCACGTGCAACACTACTGAGCTCACGTCGCCGAACCTGTAATTCAACACTCAAACGGCAAGTTTGAGGTGCAGCCTCGTGTGTGTGGCTGCAAAGTGAGGGGAAGTCGGGTATCCACCCCACCCACGAGTGACGCAACAGGCGTCTAGCAATACCGCTGGGGGACGAATGTCGATGGTGAGGTGGTGGAGTTGCCT